GCGTTGCCGAGCGCGAGAACTCCATGCCGGTCGTCAATGACAGCGGAGCCGATATGCCAGCGTGTGATGTTGGTGGATGTGCCCCGCTGGCCAGGCCCGTGCCTTCCGTGGTGACTAAGGAGGCCCACGAGGGCAACTGGGTCGACGGCAAGCCGCATGGTCGCGGTGCGTGGACGTGCAGCGACGGCAGTTTGTACGTCGGCTTGTTCAAGGCCAATCTGTTTGACGGCATTGGGATGTACGTCTATCCTGACGGCTCGATGTATCATGGCTGCTGGATCGACAACAAACGCCATGGTGTCGGCGTTGGTGTGAGCAAGTCCACGGGACATGGGCACCTACTTGGGACAGTGGACCGATGACAAGCGGAACGGGATCGGCACGCGCATTCTGCCCAACGGTGTCTGTTACTCGGGCAAGTGGCGCGATAACCAGCCGCACAGTCTCGGCGCGCTCACTCCCACTGGCGAGCCAGACGATGCCCGCAGCTGGCGTTATTAGGGTGAATGGATGTACAGCAACATGCACAGACAGGGTTCATGGGCGTGCAACGGCTGCACATATATTGGGTCTTTTGTAAGGGACCAGTTTCACAGCGTCGGCACCTACACACAGTCTGACGGCATGCGCTACGAAGGGGAGTGGATATGCGGCAACATGCACAGGCAAGGTTCGTGGACGTGGGACGGCAACACGTACGTCAGAGCTTTCAAAGACGACAAGTTTCACGGCGTCAGTATCTACACGCAGCTCAATGGCACACGCTACGAAGGCAAATGGAAACAAGATGCCCGACACGGCCACGGGATTGAATCCTACATAAACAAAAGCCGCTACAACGGCGAATGGCGTGACAACATGCGAAACGGAGTGGGTACGTTCATGTGGGTTGACGGCAGCCACTACCGAGGCAAGTGGAAATACAACAATCAACATGGCCGCGGAATCGAATCGTGTGTAAGCGGCCACCGCTACGATGGGGAATGGCAACACAATGCGGCACACAGAGTGGGTATGGTCATGTGGGTGGACAATAGCCGCTACACAGGCGAATGGCAGAACGACAAACGGCACGGCCGCGGCAGCAAAATATATCCAGACGGCAGCCGCTATGAGGGCGAATGGCAGGCTGACCTGCCTCACGGAGTGGGTACGCTCACATGGGCGGACGGCAGCCGCTACACAGGCGAATGGCGCAACGACTTGCCCCACAGCGTAGGCACCTACATCAACCCCATCAGTGTCACAATCCTGTGCTCTTGGTACAACGGCCGACAACACGGCAGCAGAACCATCACGTATGGAGACAGCTCTCAGTGCGAGGCGGCATGGTGCAAAGGCCGGCAAACCGCTGCTGTAGTAGTTGCGCACGCTTCACCGGGTGCCGCCGAATGCGTTTGCGACTGCCAAGCATGCGCAACCAAGCGCAAACTCTCTTTGTGAGACAGATGTTGTCGTCCGCATGCACACGCACCGTGCAGCCGGAGCTACT